AGCAGGAAATTAAAGCGTGTAACTGTTGCCAGCAAAATTCAATTGCCAGAGTAGAAAAGCACACATGAAAATCAAGAACAGTTACCAGACTTAATCAAAAAGACTTCTCTTTTATGAAGAAATTATGAAAATTAAGAGAAGTGTCTGAGAAAATGGAAGACTGGCATTACATAGTACTTTTTCCAGCAAGTGATGTAGAACTTGACTGTAAGACTACATAGCTATACTGACAGATGTATTTCCCAGTAATTGCAAATACTGCCCAAGACCAATGTGAAGCACTATATTTAGCACAATGTATAAAAATGTTTAGTTGAACAATGAATAAAGCAGGGGTGTCAAACATGTGGCCCATGGGCTGGATATGGCCCACAGAGCCCAATCATCTGGCCCTCAGTGCTGCCTTTGGGTCTTGAATTGGCAGACAAACCCCTTGCCATTCATCCAGCCCTCAGGGCCTGATGAGTTTAACATAGAGTTTATGTGCTTACAAAAGCGTGTAACTTATCTCTCTCTCACAGTAAGTAATTACCATATTTACCCGAATACAAGATGACCTTGAATGTAAGGCAACCCCCAAATAATTAGACTCTACACACAGAAAATATATAAATGTATTATAATTTTCCATGTATGGAACCTAATTATCAGAGGATCATCTTAAATTTGTCCCCCCCGCAACTATTGCAGGTAGGGGGGAGGGGGAATAGGTGATGAGAAGGACAGGAATGGGCTGGGCAGTGGGAAAGGCTACTGCCAGGACAGGCACAGAGGGTGGGGGCACTAATAGAGCAGGAAGTATGGCGCAGGTGGTAGGGGGCAGGCAGAGACAGAGACAGACACAGGCAGCCTGTATCTCCACCCCCCATACCCACCATTGTTACTGCCCTGCCCCCCAAGCCTCAGGCCACCCCGAATTCCCCCCCTCCATGCTGCTTCTGCTCTAGCCTGGCCCCATAGCAGCAGCACAGAGCCAGCACTACTGTTCCAGCCCAATCCAGTAGCAGAAGCACCAGCTCCCTGCCACTCCTGCTCCAGGGCCGGGCTGGAGCCATGCTCTGTGCCCCACAGTGCAGCAGGGACTGAGCCTGCCAGCAAAGAGCAAAGATGAGGAGGAGTGCAGCAGAGGGAGAAGCGATGCGGGGAGGGAGACTAGGGGCGGTGAGGGGGGGAGGGAACAGCTGCAGCTCCGGCTCTGGCTCCTACCCCAGGTTGGGGCTGGAACTGCAGCAGTTGCCTGCCCACCACTCCCATGCTTGATTTTAAGGTGAAGAGTTTTTTTATCCATGTTAAATGGGGAAAGGACCTTGTTTTCTAAGTGAGTAAATATGGTACTGACGCCCCGCAAAGAAGAAAAAAAACAAGAGGTGTCTACAGCGTGGCAGCAGGAAAAAAAAACTGCTTTACCTCTTCTCACTTCTAGGGAAGTCTGGGGGGCTAGGAAGTGCCTCCAAAAACATACTCCCCTTTGAAGTAGGATAGGGAAGTGGCATGACTCACTGACAGACATTT